CCCATTTTTTTACATTTTGAAACTAGTCTGTTAACAATGACTTTCGTTAACACTGAAAATTCCAAGAAAAACAAACTATTTATTTAAAGAGTTTTTAACACTGAGCAACTGTTTAGTAGTTTAAGCTACCTGAGTTATAAATATTTTGATGATTATATTTACTAAGCAAAGATTGTTGGTGGTTAGTAGTGGAATCCAAGACACGCCTGTTTCGTCCTATTTGAAATTCGTCAACTGGATACACCTATATCCAAGAATAAACTTAGTCTCTGAGACTCGAACCTATTACCCTTCATTTCAAACACCATCACGCTATTCATTTATCTACTTAGTCCTAATAGCCACTAGCATGTGTAATGAGGTAAAGTTCTGATTCATTTCGTAATTGATGCTTAGGACTGTAACTGACCAATCCCTAAGTAGATAATGTAATGGCATTTGGTGCGAACAGTGCTATGTTAGAATCCCACGGTGAACACCAACTATATGATGCAAGTACATCCAATTGACGAGTCTCAAATAGAATGAAACACGCATTCACCATCCCACTGTTAGCCACGTTCACATTTTCAAATAGATACTTAAATAACATTAAGATGTTTATAAATTATCATTTTGCTTTTTTTCTTGAATAAATCAACTAAATTCTATTTGAAGTTTGTGCTGGTGATGTTGTTCACATAAACGACCAAACCATCTACCTCAGAGAACAAAAGTCTATCAAAATCATTATAATATATATTTTCAAATATATTTGAGTATAGAGGTTGTGGAGAATATTAAATTTTAGATTGAGATCATGGACTGATTGATGTTAGACCACCATTGAAAACCTGGTAGTACTGGACGGCCATTTCATCCTATTGCGGTGCTCCTCAGTAGTGCGCATCCACAATCCCGCCTCGCGGGATTCGAACTCGTGGCCTTCAGTCTTGCGCGCGATCGCTCAACCTACTGGACCACTGAACTGGCCAGCATCCAATGATGTTAACGTCTAACCCCAACCAATCCACAAAATTGCGCGACCATCTTCTATTGTAACGAGGTAGATAACTGTCTCTACCCGACATGGATTAGCTCCACTGGTCACGGCTTCTCACTAGAACTCTGAGAATTCCCTCACGAAGCTAACCATTAGTGACCACATGATAATTATCAGTATAGAGGTTGTCTAACATCAATCGAATCAGGATCTCAATTTAAAAATTATATTACAATCAAAGAAAATTGATCAAGTACATATATTTCATTAAATATGGCTTTCGTTTATTCTGTATCCTTTATCCGATTTCCCCTCTAATTCAGTGACTATAATCCATCTTTAGACTTATTTTGGCCTAAACTAATGATAATCATTTATGGTTAAAAGAAAATGTATTAAGTGATTAGTTCATACATATGGAGAAGAAAAGAAATCCTAGCTAGTTGTATTGGTTATAGATGCATATTATTTATTAGATTAGTAACTGTTGTAATAGAAACCAGAGTGATGATGACAATATTGATAATGTTGGTGGAATAGTATATAAAACAAAAAGGTCATAGCTGTCAATAGATAGAATTATTTCATAATTGATAATAATTCCTTCTACTGAAAAATTAATCGAGTGCGGAATTTTTACGAAACTTTTTCAAATGTAGATAACATTATAGTGTAACGAAATCTCAGCACGGATATAGAAAGCACGACTAGCTTTTGCCAACTTGCGTCATTTATGCAGTAGACGAGATATCAGTCTACCAATCAACGGAAGTGTTTACTGCGCAGCAGTTCGTTCCGTCCTACTTTATGGCAGTGAAACATGGCCGGTAAGAGTAGAAGATATTCGTAAGTTACTAGTATTCGGTCATAGGTGTCTTCGAAGCATTGATCGTATATCTTGAGACCACCGAGTAAGTAATTCAGTTGTTAGGAAACGGGTACTAGGTAAGGATGGCAAATCAATTGATGAAGTAGTGAAAATTCACCAGTTGAGATAGCTGGGACACGTGTTACGTATGCCCAACCACCGAATGCCTCAACGTGCTATACTTTATGGTTTAGGAGTAAGTTGGAAGAGAGCTAGGGGCGGTCAGACCAAAAAATGGTACAAATCCATGAAGTTACTGACAAGTGGACTGAGCCATGTTGGTAGGTGTAGACTACCTGGTTGGGATCGCGAGACGATAGCAACTGATGGTAAGAGACCTTGAATAACATGGTTCAAAATCGTTTGCAATGGCGCAGGTGTATCTACTCTTTGTGTTCTTCCAGATTCTAATCTTTTGAATTATTCATGTCCCTTTTTTCCTCTTTCCAAATTTATTTTACTGGATTATACTCCTTGATTAAAATGTTCAAACCCTAGTGTTTCCGATTACCGCATATACTTTTACTACTTCCACCATTATGGGATTTGAATAGAAAATTGTATCTCTGTGCTAATGTGCATGGCAACTCGAACTGATGTACGTACGTATGAAGTTCTACGTTGTTACTGATTTATAGTTTGATAACCTTTAGAACTTACCGTGAGACTATAATTTTTGGATAAACTAATCAGATATAAGATTTTAAAAATCTTGGATTGTGGCGCGAAATTCATCTATCCATTTGGTTAAAGATAGTTTTTGGCATTAAAGCTGATGCTAGTTTGTGATGAAAACCCGAAATCTAATTCCTAATCTTAATTCTATTTGTCCACTATGGTTTATTAACTTCATCTACTTCTAGTCAGTATGTGGACATTCTCAAGGTCAGTTTAGCGTCGTTCAAAGATCGTCCATAAATTATGGTCTCACTGAACTTAGCATGAAATCAATCTTCAATAAAAAGAGTTGTTAATCATTAATAAATAAGTTGTTTATTTATGTTTAGTGTAAAAAGGTAGTTTTAATCAAATCAAAAATCATTTTTATAGTGTTTATAATGTTAAAAAGTATTTCCACAGTTAAATTCTCGATTCGATCTAAACTAGATCACCATTGATAAACTAGTAATACTAAATGATCCCTTCATCCAAGTACACGAGTCCTTACACGAAACCAAATGTTTTGGGTTCGAGTCTCAAATGCGGGATCATGAATGCGTATTGATGAAAAATTTCAAACTAGAATACAATGCCCATTTAATTCTTTCAGGTTTTCAATGGTAAAAATTTGTCCATAGTATGATTAACAAAGGATAACTGCAACTTTAAATATTTAACTTCTATTGTAGTGAACAGTACACCAGTGGGAACAATCAAATGTACTTAACACAGAATTACAGGACTTGTTGATAAAATCTAACAATCTAACAATGCTCAATTTGCAAAATGTCCATTGATTGTCTCAAAATGACTCAGACTTCATTGTTATTGCATTTTCATACAAATTGCATTCTGTTTCCATTCTTTACTGATCGATCCTCTTGTCTCCCTGCTGCCAGACCTTCTGTTTACGACTAATATCATATACTACTTATGTCAATATAAGTCGCACACATCACACTATTTTTAAACTATTTAAGATGAATGATATTGTTACTGAGTAATTTTGTTCATCCCATTTTTACTATTTAACAATCATAACTCTTAATTGAATCAAATCAAGTATTGGAACAAATAATGAGAGAATTACTAGAGGTTTACTTTTATAATTTAATACTATTAGTTAAACAGTTTATCATTATTCAAGGTGAATCATCTATAAGTAATATAATATGCATTATTATCATTATACTATTGATGGTTATTATTATATCAAATATAATATGAATAGTATATGATTGATATACAATGGGATAATTGAGTTAGTCTATCATAGTGTATACAAATAGATAAGTATGATTTATTAGCTTGATAAAGTTCAAGTATCATCATAAACAATAATTGTTTATAATAAAATATATATAAATAGGAGGTTAATAGTTTGAATATGCTTAACTTAACTATTCGATAAAAAGATAACTTTAAAAAGATTTGAAAATAAGTGATTTGATTATTATCAATATAGGGTTGTGAAGATTATTATGTTTTTGATTGAGATCATGAACTGATTGATGTTAGATCACCATTGAAAACTTGAAAGTAATGAACGACTGTTTCGTCCTATTGTGGGACTTCTCATCAGTGCATATCCACGATCCCGTCCCGCGAGATTCGAACCTAAGGCTTTCAGTCTCACGAGAGAATGCTTAACTTCTAGACCACTGAGCCAGTTAGTATCAAAACGATGTTAATGTCTAACCTCAACCAGTCCACGAAATTGCGCAACCATCTTCTGTTGTGCTGAGGTAGATATCTGTGTTTACTCGACACGGATTATTCTTATCTAATATGTTTTATTGCAATAGCAGATGTATTATTTATAAACATCTCCAGATATATTTGCATACAGAAAAGTGATTGATTACTTTTTAGTATCCATTTGTCTAAAGAATAATAATAGTTCTATGGATTGCACTAATTAAGATTATAAGGAGATAATGTTCACAAACAGAATCATTTTTAGACAGAAATAATGGATGGCCTTCTTCAACGACCAACTATGATTTAACTCAGCCAATATAAACAACAAAAAGTATATTAGGATCCATTATCTTTTCTGATCACCGAAAAAAACGTGGATAGTTTTAATCTGAATTCGTATCATTTTAATTGCTCGAATTTCAGCTTAACAATCTGTCAAGTTCTTAGTGGATTTGTTAAGTTTTCTATGATAATCATAGATAAGATTATTGACAAATCTTTGTTGAATGATTGTTGAGAACTAGAAAATAACTAAACAACTGTTTCATCCTAGTATGGGACTCCTCAGCAGTACTGATCATTGATGCTACCATTGAAGACTGAACCTGAGACCTCTGATCTCGTGTACGATTAGTTTTTAAATTATCAACTGACTGATTGAACTATTTCTAGTTGTCATTATACTCTGATATTTACAATTATCATACGTTGATTTTATTGTTAGAATGTTGATATTTCAGTTATACGTATAGGTTAAGTTAACATAATAGGGATTAATATTGAACTTACCTTGATTGTTTTATTTTGTAGTCTCATTTTGTTAAGTGCACGTATCGCTCGTTCAGCATCGGAAGCATCTACATAATTCACAAATCCATAACCCAAACTTTGACCTTAAGTTATATTTTTGAAAGAAAAAAAATTGATGAGACTTCATTATCATTTTCAAATATTGAAAAACTGTAAATCAAATAATTGAAAATAAAATTTCTAGGATTCTAAGCAAAGATAGATAGTGGCTAGCAACAGAATCCAGTTTGATGCAATTTTCGTCCTATTTAGGACTCATCAGATGAATGAATCTGCATTTCAGAGTTGATGTTCATTCTGGGACTCAAATTCAGTATTGTTCGCTTCAATCGCCATCACGTTATCAACTAAGTTACTGAGTCCTGACAGCCACTAGCCTGTATAATGGGGTGAAGTTTAAATTCACTTGGTATTGTTTACTTGGATCTTCTCATTGATGCTTAGGACTGCAATTGATCAGTCTTTTATTGTCATATGTACATCCTATTCAAATCGCCTCGTTATTGCCTTAAATCACAAGTCATAAAACTAGATAGGCTATATTTAATAAATTCAACTATTTAAGGTTTACATGTTTACTTTTTCTAAACATATTGCTCAGTTCGAAAACATTTTCTTTAATCGCACCTCACAATGTATATATTTATATTCGATTGATCGCATCGAAAAGAATGGAAACTCATCTTCTGTTTATTTAAAGTAACTATTGAAAAAAGAGGACCGTAACATAAGTTGCCAATGATGAATGATCAGAACAAAAAAACACGGGCGAGACTATAATTTATGGATGAACCAATCAGATTTAACATGGCAGATCTTGGCGCGAAATTCATTCATTTTGTAAAATATTATTTTGACATTATAACTGATGTCAGTTCATCATAAAAACACTAAATCTAATCCTTGAGCCTAACGTTCAGTTATAAATCCTAATTCCTCACTTTAATTTTTAACCATAGTGAATAGGTAAACATTCTAAAAACCACTTCAGCATAGTTCGAAGGTCGTCCAATTTTAGGTCCCGATAAGCATAATGAGTGGTAACTTTTGGGATCCATTTATGAACCAATAATATGCGTATATTTTTATCATATGATTGTTAAATAACTAAACTTTTCTTATTTTCTTGTTCCTCTTATTATGAGGTTTATTTTGACCTATAAACTATTATTCTACGATTCACCATTCTTGAATTATGCCCTGTCTATTAATTACATTCACAGCCATTTTTGGCTAAATCTTGTACAAATGATGTTTCATATTTTATTGTACGGTGTGGTCTGTCTGGTTGGTATATAAACTCAGTATGGTTGAAATAAATGATTCATATTGCAGACGTTGAGATTGGTGTTCTGGACTTAACTGGCTGGAGTAGGTGGAAAGCAGGACCAATCAAGATTGTAGATTGCTCGTACATGTTTTATGTGTCATTGGTCCGATCGATAATTCACTTCTGCCTACTTACATTATTACAATAAACAGGGCATACAGGTTCACAAGTTATAACATTCATAAATTATAGTCTCGTCAAAAACAAACAAGTTATATTAGTTAGTTATATAATATACCCTTGTGGGTCAGGGTAATTTTACATTGGTTTTCAGGAGAACCAGACACCATTCGGACTTTCACATGACAACCCAAACAGTACAGCTCAACCCCGTTTAGCAAGGGAACAAACGGAATTATTACCTGTTAATTTATCACGTATTAATTTACAACTGGCTAATTTTCCAATTTTTGAAAATAATATTCTCATTTCTTCTTGTGACATTGTTTGAGGTAAATAATTCACAATTAAATTTGTTCTATTTTCATAATTATCACATGATATTTCATTCATTATTGTAGTTTTATCTAATTCATTTGGACTTTTAGATTGTTGAAAATGGCCATAGTTATTATTATTATTATCATTATTATTATTGTTGTTGTTGTTGCTATGGTTACCATCACTGTTATTGACAGTATCATCTATAATGATATTAGAATTATGAAGAATTTGTGAACATGATGTAAGATCATTGTTAATTTTTTGAATATTATTATTTATATATATTGAATTGGAATTAGTTTGAGCTGAATTAGTCATTTCTGAAAATAAAAATATAATAAATTTAATTAAAATAATTGTTGAGTATAATCATTTTACAGATTGAAATCTCCACAAACCCCTTCTGATAATAATAATCTGCTCACTAGTGACTGACTTCAAGAGATACTCCTGGAGTTCCAGTGAGAATCCGTTACCAGTGGAGTTCAACCAGGTCTGTTGTGAGATATCAGCTCACTAAAGAAATGGTGTACGGAGGCTCAACTTCGTGGATTGGTTGAAGTTAGACATTAACACCGTTGGATGCCGGCTCAGTGGTCTAATGGTCAAGTGCTCGCGCGCGGAGCCAGTAGGTCCTGGGTTCGAGCCCCGCGTGGTGCGGGATCGTGGATGCGCACTGCTGAGGAGTCCCATACTAGGACGAAACGGCCGTCCAGTGCTTCCAGGTTTTCCATGGTGGTCTAGCGTCAACTGACTCATGACTTCAATCTGTGAAAATTTCTAAAATCTACACAAATCCCTTCTGATATAATCATTTTATTCAAATAGAAATCTAATTTGGTTGTTCAGTAATAATGATTGAAAAATATGTATATTTATAATTGATTGATCACTAGGTGGTGATCAATGTTATATATGAACATGAAGAGTCCACCTAGAAGAATTGGAAAACCCTGATTCCAAACCAATGGTGGTGCATATGGATTCCAGTAACCTGAAAGAACAAATGGCGTATGAACCAATTATTGGTCACCGGCTACCATGGGACTGCATCTCCTCACGTTGATACATTGCCTTATGGATCAGACCTTTAGACCGAAGGCTCCAGGTGTGGTCTTCTAAGAAAACTACCTGCTTTGGTTTGAGAACCCGGGCAGTATTCCAGCCCTCACACATATTTAGTGCCTCCTTGTACCAATGTTTATGTGTTTAAATAAATAAATAAATAATAAACAGATCGTTCTTAGTGCAGATCGAATCCTATCGACCAAGTTGCAATATAGCCACTAGTCTAAGTGACTTGACGTTAAGTGCACTATGTTGAGATGTGATGGTGGTTGGGGGTAGTCAACAGGAAACCCTGGACATATATTTCATACTATTTGGCATTTGTCAAGAGGTCAGTAGCGTCTCGGATAGCTCAGTGATACTGTCTCTGATTGTGAAGCTGAGTAACGCGGGATCGAATCCATCAGGGAGCACCAGTTCCCTCAAGATTACAGGTACACCTTGCTGATGAGTGCCAAGTAGCACGAAACTTAGGTTCAGGTTTTCTTGTTAACTACCTCTAACCACCATCTTATCTAAACATGCTTACTATTAAATGATAAAGTACTATTGTAAACAATTCAATGATTGTTTCTTTGAGAATGATGATGAGTAATATGTATTTCATTTTTGTAAGGAATATTATTTACTGAAGATTGTAGATATAATTTATCGGAAAATATTACCTTAGACAAAACCTAAATTCAATAATTTCAAGAAACTCTAAGATTTGGATACATTCATTCTAATAGAACGAAACACGACACTTCGATTTCATTTCTGTTTATCATACATCACTGATTGAAAGTGCTTGTACACTATTGTATTGGTAGTCTGTTTGGATAGGCTTATAGAGATATTTTAAGACAGAAAATTCTTAGTTGATTTGGATGAATTCCATGGTTTTATCAGTATATGTATTGCTCACATTCTCATCGATCAACTTAAAAGTATTTTCATGTTCATCTCTTTTTACAATAAACAATACCAATTAATGACATTTGGTTTCTATATTACAGCTTCTGTAATTAACTAAATCTGATCTATCACCCGATAAAAATAAATCACATAGTCGGGGACTCATTCTAGAGTGTGTGGTGGTGAGTATTTCTGTCTGTCACATGGAAGGCCCGGGTTTGATTTGCGATCGAGGAGTTAGCTTTCCAATACGAATGTCAAGACACTTCTAATGTACGGAGCTGAAACTTGGAGAACCACTACAATCATCACCAAGAAGGTACAAGTACTTATAAACATTTGTCTACGCAAGACACCCAATATTAATTGATCGGATGCCATGAGCAAGATCCTATCATGGGAGAGAACAAGGCATCTTACTACGAAAAAGGAAATTAAGAAAACACGTTATAGGTGAATAGGAAACACATTGAGGATATCACCAAACAGTATCACGAATCAAGATCCAGCTTGGAATCCTAAAGGAAAACGAAAAAGAGAAAGGCCAAATAACACGCAACATCGGGAATTGGAAGCAGATATGAAAAGGATAAATAGCGACTGAAAACAAGTGCGAATAATTGTCCAGGACAGAGTTGGTTGGAGAATGTTGATAGTCGGCATCTGCTAGTCGACGAGGTGTAACGGAAGTAAGTAAGTAAGGCGGAGGTTCATCTAACAGCACACTTAGTAGGAATTTAAACGAAAATATATATGGTAGTTTCCCAGGGAGTTAACTGTGAACAATGTAAATTAACCCTGTTCTCATTTAATGAAACTTTCAATACAGTTTTCACTAAAATGAATAAGCATTATACATATCTTTACTTCCATATTTAGTATTACCAATACTGTCTTAACTGAAAATACTTGTCCTCATCAATAAAATGAATCCAAAGTATTAATTAGTGATTTCTTATGAAAATAATTCATTACTTAATCATTAGTTGGCAAAATTATTTTAAATCCTGTGTTTGTACTTAACAATTTTTACTACACATCTGATTAATTCGTCAACAAAGCATAGTTTAGTTAGATTTTTAAGTAAATATCGGCTAAGTTCACCTCATTTCACAAGCAAGTGGTTAGCAGGACTCAGTAGCTAAGTGGATAACATGATGACGTTTGAAGCGAACAGTATTGGGTTAGAGTCTTTGAGTGAACATGAACTAAAGGATGCAGGTACATTCAGATGACAAATCCCAAATGGAACGAAACGCGCGTCCTTGATCCCACTGCTAACCACTAGCCATCTTTGTTTAGAATGCTTATGAATGGAGGCAATATCAAGGTAATCCGAACAGGATGTATATATGCCAATAACAAACTGATTAGTTGCAGTCCTAAATATCAATGAGAAGATTCAAGTAAACAATACCAAGTGAATTTCAACTTCACCACATTGCACAAGCAATGACTCAATAACTAAGTGGATAACACAATAGTGTGAACGGTACTGAATTCGAGTCCCACAATAAATATCAACTCCATGATGCAGATATATCCAACTGACGAATCCAAAATAGGATGAAACACACATATCCTGCATTCCATTACTAACCATTATCTATCTTTCCTTATAAACATCAGCTATGTTACTTAAATCCGAATACTTTATAAAAACTATCTATTTAAATTAAATTCATTCTTAATTATAACAATGATTTATTGCTGAAATGTACAATTAATAATGTCAGTTATTATGATGATTATTTCATCTGTTTGATTTCGTTAAATGTTAAAGCAAAACAACAAAAAAAGAAAAAAAAGAAAAAAGAAGAAAAGAAAAGAAAAGAAAAAGGGAAGAAATAAACGGAACAAGGAAATATTTTTTTCCATTTAATTTATCATCATTATTAATTCTACATTCATTGGTGCATATAAATAATTATATTAAATGTTAAACTAAGTAATTAATAGAAGGTTGAAATAATTAATGAAAATTAAATTAATTGAAAATGTAATTAAAAGGTCATTTTTTTCTAATTTTATATCTGAATGATAATTTTCAATCGGGTCTGTTGTGAGATAGTAACACATTGACGACAATGATGGATCAATTAAAGTTAGACATTAACACCATTGGATGCTGGCCAGTTCAGTAGTCTACAGTTTTAAGTGTTCATATGCAAGACCGATAGGGCCTGTGTTCGAATGTTGTGAGAAGAGATCGTGGATGCACACTGATGAGGAATATCACAATAGGATGTCCAGTGCTTCCAGGTTCCCCATGGTGGTCTAACTTCAATTGACTCATGATATCATTTATTAGAATTACTATAATATCCACGAAACCACTTTCGATACTAATTCTCATTTTATTTATCAGAATGGGGATTTGTGAAGATTGTAATAATTTTTTCAATTGTTGAGTTCATGAATTCTGATCTAAGCTCGATCAATATTGAAAACTTTAAAGTATTAGATGATCGTTCCATTCTAGTATGAGACTCTTAAACAGTACTTGTTCACGATCCCGTATATGGGACTAGAACTCAGGACTTTCGGTCTCATATGTGAATAATTAACTTCTAAACTATTGAACCGGTATCCAACAATGTTATTGTCAAACTTCAATAGATTAATAATCTTATAAAATTCAAATTTTCAAAATTTTCACTTAATCAATACCAAAAAGTATCTAGGAATGAAAGGGTAACAATCCACCCTTTATCCCTTATTTCGATATCTGTAACTGTTGGTTATTGATTTTAAAAAAAACTATTATCATGCATAAATACAGGTATATAAGCTGTTATCTGTTCTATAATGAAATACATATTAGTAGACTTATGAATTAAATACTGACTAAACAACAACAAAGTTTGCATTGTTAGTTAGTTTAATGAATATCTGTCTAAAGAAATTGGATGTCAACACAAAAGCTAAATAGAAACATTAACTTTAGTAAGAAAAAAGTACTGAGAAGAAATCATAATGACATAGTTTTTATTAACTTTTATTAGTTATCTTGTCTACGCAAGATACTCAACATCCATTGGCCGTATACCATTAACAACAGCCTACTGTGGGAGAGAAAAAACCAGATTGCAGATGAGGAAATTAAGAAAACATTATGAAAATGAATAGAACATACATTACACAAATCACCAAGTTGCATCATGAGGCAAGTCCTAACTTGGAATCGTGACTAGAAGTGCAAAAGTGGAAGGACAAATAATGCATTAAGTCAGGAAATAGAATCAGATATGAAAAGGATGAATAACAGCTGGAAAGAGCCTTAACGAATAGTCCAGGACAGAGTTGTATGAAGAATGCTGGTGGGCGGTCTATGCTCCTCCACGAGGAGTAAA